GTGGACACAGGCCCCCCTCAATTTTTTTTTTCTGATATTAGATATATATTTTTTAAAATAAAATTTAGATATATTTAATTGTGTTTACCCTCAATTTTTTTTTATAGTAAATATGTATTTTTTAAAATAAAATTTAGACATATTTAATTGTGTCCACTTTATTATTGTATTATTGTGATATCGATTATGATAGACGATTACTTAAATAATAATTAATTTTTAAAAAATGTTATTGAAACTAATACATTATGATATTAAATTTAATAGTGAATCTGTATATTCAATAACGTCTACTATCCATCCACCGGTTACAAAACATTGGGTTCCTACCAATTAAATTTTGAATTTTTTTTTGGTCAAGATATAAAATTAAATTTCGAATTAGATACAATTATTATTATTCTTAAATTTTTAGACACAGACATGTCTGAATAATTTTTAGATATATCGCGTTCATTTTTTAAAATTATAGGATTATTTTATTATTGTATAGAAATGAACGTCATAATATAATAAATTACAGGGTAATAAATGAAACACTGTTATTACTATTTTGTATATAGAAAAAAAAGTATTTATTGATATCATTAATTTGTAATTTTTTTAAATGATAAACAATAATCAGACTTAATTGTAAAATGATAATAATTAGTCTCATACGAAGTTTTAATTAATTTACTTTTATTTTTTGTTTGTTCATTCCACGCAAATTATTTTTTAATCTTTTATGTTTAATGAATTTTTACACATAATTATAGTAAATATAAATTTATGAACTTTTTATGATCAATTGAAAAAAAAATTAAAAAATACTATTTAAATCTAATTTGATGACATAATTCAATGCACTTCTTTGATTGAAAGTAGACTTCATCTAATATTGAAATTTACAACTAAAATATCAGTTATATTGAATTAAATTATTGGTAACATTGATAAAAAAAATAATTAAAATTTATTAATTTGCCCATCCTAAAGTATTTTTTTGGCTCTGCTCCTGGTGAGATTTTATTTTTGTGTGGGATGTGTTATGAGCCATTAGATTAAGTTTGATGAATTTAGATCATTTTAATTTAAAATGAATTCAATCTGAATTGTTATTGTGCCTTTTCAAATTTAAGATAGAGACGTATCAGAGATAGGAGTGTAGAGTCTTACAATAAGAGATTTCTTCATGGATGGGAAAAGAAATCCAGGATTAATTGTAGACTGTTAAATCAAAATTTTTGAGATAATCTGAACCATCTTTTATGATGGAATTACGTTATCCGTTAAATGTGTTTATATTTTGTCTCAAAATAATCTGAACTTTTTTTTGTCTTTTAGATTCAAATTTTGTTATTTTTTATTATATAAATAAGATATAAATAAAATATTTTTTAATAAAAATTCATTCTACCCGATATAAAACCGTTCTACCCGACTAACTTGGGAGGCTTAATTTTGTAATATTGCTCATGCATTATTGTTAACCCGAGTTGAAGTCGTTGTGAACCAATATTCTTCAATGGGCACACAACCCTAGGCCACATGGCTCTCCCTCTCCCTCGGATTGCTCAATCATTTCAATAAATTATTGTAATGGATTGGCTTAACAAATTGTCACCAGGAGTCGTCATCAACTTGAATAGCGACCTGACTATGGTATCGAATTTAATTTGTTTTTTCGGTACTGTATCTTTAAATTTTATTATTTTAATAATATGTTTTTATAATTTTTATAAATTATTTTATAATTTTGTGAATGATTTATTATTTTTATGAGTTATTTTATCATTGCTGTGATTATTTTTATTATTATTATGATATCTATTTTTACAATTTTTATAATTTGAGATGGAGTCTAATAATTAGTAAGTAGTTTAATAGTGGTAAAAATAATTATCATAACAGTAGTAAAAACAGTTATTATAATAGTGATAAAAATACTTATAAAAATAATAAATAATAATATAATATCATTTTTTTTTTCAATACGGTAGGCTTCGCCCGAATGGAGGAACTATAATAACAAAAAATAATTCAAGTCAAAAGATACTTTTTAATATTTAAAATTAAACATTGATGGTATAATATTTATATTTTAATAAATAACTATTTATAATTTTTTATTTGGTGGGGATTAAGAGAGTCATCTAACGTTGGAGAGTGTATTAATTGATTATCTGACACTAGGGACCATAAAGAAAAGATAATATTTGAGCATAAAAAAACATTTTGAGATAAATTATATCCTATTGAATTAAAATAAATAAAATTTAAATATTCAAGAAGTTTGGAATTATATTTTTTTATTAGACAGATGTTTCGGCTAAAAGATTCCACATCAAGTGAGATTTAAAAAAAAAAGATAAAAATAGTAGTTGGTCCCTCAACTTTAACTTTAATTTTAGGGTTAATCTCATTTTGTATCCTAAAAGATTGTTCAAATCTCAATTTGTACCCCCAAAAATTAAAAATCTCAATTTGTACCCTCAAAGATAAAAATTTGTATCAATGTGCATCCCCAAAGATAAAAAATCTCAATTTGCACCCTCAAAGATAGAAATTTGTGTCAATGTGCACCTAAAATTAAATTGATAAATTATACCTAGATCCCCTCATGTTTGTCATTTAATTATTTGAACTCTTTCACATTTAGAATATTCCCCTTACATCTCATGACGTTGCATGTGTAACACATAACCACTTTTCGTTGATATCTGTTAATATAATCGTTAAAAAATATGATTTTATCTTAATAAAAAATTATAATTTTATATTATCTTTTATTTTGTGGATTCAATATACTCTATAGTTGAAAATCAATCTTACCATTTGAATGTCTAATAAAATGTAGATATTTATATAAAAAGTAATATGAAAAATATTATATAAATATTTATATTTTATTAGACATTCAAATGGTAAACTAAATTTTGAACCTTAGAATATATTGAACCCATAAAATAAAGGGTAATATGAAATTATAATTTTTTATTAAGATAAAATTATATTTTTTAACGGTTATATTAATAGATATCAATGAAAATGGGTTACGTGTTATACGTGCACAAATGTCATAAGATGTAGGAGTAATATTCTAAATGTGAAGAGATCTAAATGATTAAGTGACAAGTATGAGGGGATCTAGGTAAAATTTATCAATTTAGTTTTAGGTGCACATTGATACAAATTTCTATCTTTGAGGGTGTAAATTGAGATTTTTTATCTTTGGGGTGCACATTGATATAAATTTTTATCTTTGAGGCTGCAAATTGAGATTTTTGATCTTTGGGGGTGCACATTGATACAAATTTCTATCTTTAAAGGTGTAAATTAAAATTTTTGATTTTTGAGGGTACAAATTGAGATTCGAACAATCTTTCGGGGTGTAAAATGAGATTAACCCGTAATTTTAATTTGATCCCAAAATTTTTAATTATCTTAATTTAGTCTCTCAATTATCAGTTTTATCTCAATTAAATTATTCTGTCCATTTTCACTGTTATATCAATGCTGAAATTGATCAGATTAAGGCTAGTCTCTACTTAAATTAATGATGACAATTGATAGACATACTTAATTAAGATAAAACTGATAATTAAAAGACTAAATTAAGATAATTAAAAGTTTAATAACCAAATTAAAACCAAAAATAAATTTTAAGGACTAACTATAATTTTTACCCTTTAAAAAAAAAAGAAAAAAAAAAGGAGCCAGCAGGCGTGTGCCGAAGATGAGGCAAACACCATTTCATTGAAACGTCTCATGATTTTGCCCTTTCACAATTGCGTTGGTCCAGTGGAGACCCACACTAAATATAAAAATAAAGGTCAGAGGAGAAGTTCATTCATCCAACTCCTACTATTATTAATATTACCATCATTATTTTCATGATTTTAAAATTCAGATTTTCTCAATTATATTATTATTATTATTTTTTTCGATTTAATATCATCGGGTTCTACAACTGCCAATAGATGGCATGTGCGCGCTGGATGATTGAACGATTTTTTTGGTTAAGAACTATTACAAGGAGAGAGACAACGAGATTTGAATTCGCAATCTTAAAGGTCGACTTTTACCCGTCAATGGGTGAAACATTAGATCCCCTTTCTTGTTTTCAAGTTAGGAAATAATTTCGTCAGCGACCTGTCTCATTGCAGGAGGAAGGAAGTGGAGCAACCACCAGAAGGAAGCCTAATGGAATGATTTTCATACCATGCTTGGGACGTTTCCTCCTTAGTTTAGTGCTTTTGAAATATCCATTGAAATCTCCCTTTCAGTGCCCAATTTTTACAAAGCATTGCCCTTCGTAGCTGTATTAGGAGACATTAGATAGACACTTTAATAGTGAAGACGATAACCATTAAACTAACATCCGACCTTAATTTAATAATTAAAATTAATAAAAATTGGAAGAATTTTAAATTTAGGGAATCCCAATCTATGAGGAAGGAAAATACCCTTCTTTTTTCAAGGGATAAAAAAAATTATTCTTCATAATTTTTTATTCGCCCTATATTTTCATTCTTTTTACAAAACGGACTGTATGCGTAGAAAGTATAATTTTCTCAATCGAAAAAGCAAAGTACAAAAAGTGAAGTTGTATTGACATTTTCAAAGAGGCAAAGAAACTCCAGAAAATAAGGAATTACAGTAACTAAATTGCCCCACAAAAAAGGAAAAATATTAAAAAAGTCAATAGAAAAAAAAAAATTCCAACTTTAACGTAAAAAATCAATCAAAACACGCTATACAGTGGAAGGAAGCCAAAGCCTAGTCCATGTGCCAGACAGCCATAGACACAGAGCATACGATTCTTCAGCTCTGAACATCCACAATCGGCACGCGACCCTAGGTCCTCTCTCTCTCTCTCTCTCCACACGCCCCTCTATCTCACAGAAGACGCCGTTAATCGATTCACCGAGCTCTCTTATCTGTACAACCAATCCTTATCACCATCATCATCATAATCGTCGTGTGTCGTTTTGGATGTTAATGTGTGAGCGATCGTCATGTATATAACGGCCTGTTCGTCTGCTACTTCTTCACTCCTCAGAGCCTCACGGTCTCGATTTTCGTCTTCCCTATCCTCATCTTTTTCTTCTCTCGCTAGAAGTGGTTCTCATTCCTCACCGGCTGTGTTCAACCAGAGCCGATCTCTAGGATACTCCTCGGCGTTGCGGTCCCTACGGTGCTCTGTTTCGCGGTGGAGTCACGGTGTCGATTGGAAGTCTCCGTTGAGTCTTAGGTCGCAGATCAGGACTGTCGCTCCTCCTGCTATCAACGGCTTCGAACGAAAGATCGCTACTATGGGTACACTTCGAGTTTCGATTAGAGTCTGATCATTTCTTTTGGATTTGGAATTCAAAAATAAATAAACAGACTAAGAAAACTCTAACTGAAAATTCCATTTTTTGGCGTATTGCGTTCGATTGATGGAAGATTTTGTTACTTTGACACGTTCAGTGATTGGGAACTATTTTAGAGTCCAGTCTTGAGTTTTCTTTCCTTTTTTTGAACGTTCTCAGCTTCCAAAAGGAACATTAGTGCTTCTTTTGCAAATGAAATTGATCCGAGAAATCATTTTTTGCATTTGGTCATTGAGAGTCAGATGCTTGATTTATACAAAGCTCTGCCATTCTATTGGACTAGTTTTTGTTCATTCTTTTTGTCTAAGGATTATGAAGTTGTGATTACCAATGAGAAGATTCCAAGTCTGATCATATATCTCCATGGGTGCAGCTTCTGAGAATGCTTTCAAGGGTATCCTTACCAGTCTACCCAAGCCTGCAGGTGGCGAATTCGGAAAATTCTATAGCCTGCCTGCTCTGAATGATCCAAGGATAGGTAATTGTGATTCCCTTCAACTTGATTCTAGATCTTATTTTATATGTTATTACCTTTTCTTTTCCCCTTATGTAGCTGATTTCTGGCTATAATTTTTTTTTTTTT